AAATAGTCATGTAAACGAACATGACTTACACAAAAATAAAAATTGTGCTTTAATATTATTAATACAAAAAATCATAAGTTATAAAACCGAACATCTCATATTTTTGGTCCCTAGGAACTTATCACTCAATAAGATTTTCAAATTTTTTCACAGATTCATTAATTTGTTTATTTATATGCATCGTTTGTTGTTTTTCACGTCAAAAATAATTATTTTTCACAGCTATTTTTTTTTTGGGAATCTTCTATTTTCCATTTTTTCAATATACTTTAACTTGTTTTTACTCTCACTGATTAAATAAATATTGGTCTGCGACAGACTTACCTGAGAATCGTATAGGTATCACTTTTAAACCACTGGTTTATTTTATTTAACTACCTTAATTGCGTGCAATTCTAACTCCTTCATATAAGTAAACCCAAGTGAAAAAGACGAAAAAAGTAGCGTGCCTTCCAGAAAAACAACAAGCAACAACAACAACGGTTCCGCTAATCCGTTGTTGTTCTGTTTTTTTGGCATGTCCCGTTTGGTCTATGCATCTTGCACATAAAAGCAGGGTATTTATAGACATATCCGACTATGCAAATCGGTTTATAAAAATATATTCTTAAAACTTCACATATTATTAAATAATATTAATAAACCTATAAATTTGTTTAAGAAATACAAATATTTTAAAACAGAAACCTTTTATTTTAAATGGTTCTTTTATCATTTACGAACAAATGTCGCATTATTCAAAAGGCAAGGGTGCACAAAAGTCTATATATTTTAGTTGCTGGGCCTCCTTCCCATCACGCGCACTTTTTCGTCTGAGACTTGACGAGAGAGGGAGAGCCCAAAATTACTTTTTTGTGCGTTCTCTTTGCGGACCCGACTGAGAGCGCGTCGCTTTGCCGCCGTTGCGCTCAGCTCTGCCGGCGTCGCTGGCTTCTCTGCCGACGTCGCAGTCGGCTTCGTGATGATTGGGCGCTTAACTCAATTGTGGAACTGCAGGGTATACATAGCAGTTGCTGTTTTAGAATAATCTAAATGGTTAATGTATTCATTTTATTATAAATTTCTATTACTTAAAAGTCCTACGAAAATAATATATATGGACACAGATTTATTTATTTTATCTTCAGAGAAAGACTTTTACGAAACTATAAAAAAAATCCCCAACGATTAAAAACTAGAAAACCAATTTAAGTCCAAGCTAATAATAGGGAACATTGAAAAATGAAGGATGAAAATGCAGGTAGGGCTATGACTTCTTTTGCTGGACTTAAGGCTAAGGCTTGTTTAGTTGGTAGTCGAGTACCTCGACTATCAGGTACCCGTTACTCACCTAAAGGGACCAAAAGGAAATGGAGATATGCAAGCAGCAAAACGAGATTAAAATGCGCCACCTACCGGACAGATTTAAGTGTTATGGGCGTTAGAGTCGGCGTGGCAAATTTTTTTTTGGGTCAATCGATAGGTATTGATTAGAAAAAAATTTTATTTCTAGCATCCAAACTCTAGGAGCCACAGTTTTGGGCGGTTTAAGGGCGTAAGAGTGGGCGTGGCACTCTGCTGAAACAATCTTGCGCTGCGTAAGAAGCTCAGGAATCTGCACGCCAAATCTCAATAGCCTAGCTCTTATAGTTTCCGAGGTCTCAGCGTTCATCCGGACAGACAGACAGACGGACAGACGGACATGGCTAGATCGACTCGGCTAGTGATCCTGATCAAGAATATATATACTTTATGAGTTTGGAAACGCTTCCTTCTGCCTGATACATACTTTCCGACGAATCTAGTATACCCTTTTACTCTACGAGTAACGGGTATAACTATGCCTAATCTTAGTAATGATCTCCAGGATAATCATTAATTGTATCAGGCATCAAGAAGTCATACTGGTCCAGTTTCAACTGAATAAATTGCTTATACGTAAGCAGTTGCATTCATTCGTCTTTGTCAAATCCAATGAAATTCTTTTTACTTTGCTGCATCCAAACCACCGGCAAAAATTTTCGAGTAGTTGACACACACATTCGAATTTTAGGTTATGAACAACATAATATGACTTCACGGTCCTGGTACTTTCTACAAGTTTTATTTCTTTTAGTTAAACACATGTCCCTCAGGTAAGACGACTTTAAATACACTGTAAATATGTTCTAGTCTTACCTATATACAAGCACACAAATCATAAACACAGTCGATAGTAATTTAACACTATATAGTTGATTTTCAATATGTTTTTGAAAACAACAACCAAGTTTTTGTTAAGGAGCTAGCGTTCTTGCCTCCTGGAACTGCTACAGCCAAGTCAATCTAGCCATGTCCCTCTGTCCGTATGAACGCTGAGATCTCGGAAACTATACAAGCTACAATACTGGGATTAGGCATGCAGATTCCTGAGATTCCTGCGCAGCGCAAGTTTGTTTCAGAAAAGTGCCACGCCCACTCTAACGCCCACAAACCGCCCAAAACTGTGGCTCCTACAGTTTTGATGCTAGAATAATACCTATACCTATCGATTGACCCAAAAAAAGTTTGCCACGCCCACTCTAACGCCCACAAACCGCCCAAGCCTGTGGCGCCCAAAATTTTCATGCTAGATACAAAATTTTAACTGAAAAATTTGTAACGCCCACTCTAACGCCCATAACGCTTAAATTTGTCTATCGCCGGTAGGTGGCGCATTTCAATCTCGCTTTGCTGCTTGCATATCTCCATTTCCCTTTGGTCCCATTAGCTGAGTAACGGCTATCTGATAGTCGAGGTACTCGACTATAACGTTCTTCCTTGTTAATTTTTAAATTCCCCACCGGTTCTGCACAAACTTCGCCAAAGATTAAATTTCTTATTCTTTGGGCCGCGGCCGCGGGTTTAAAGATACTAGAAGCAGAACTTTTCATGAACCATATAACAGTTAACCCAAGCATTTTATTGGACAGACAGTTCGGGAAAGTTAAAAGTGCGTTGAGAGAGAGGCGCTCTCTCGTGAGAGGCGTTTGTCTTATTCAAATTTTGATTTGACAGCAGCACGGGTCGTGTCCGCACTAATCGGTTCTAGTATTTACATTTTTCATAGACACGAACTTGGCAGCTGTTCGGATCGTGACTCCACAAATTGGTTGGATTATTGGAAATCAGCTGATTCATTTCGCCAGAGCGCGACTACTCGTAAAACTTTTAACATACATAGTTACCTCACACAGATAACCGTGTGCTTGTTTGTGGTGCTGTCGCCATGGGTGACCGGCTGTGGCTGCAACTAAGAAGACTTCATGGCAAGTTCTGAAGCCGAGAACCATACCAATACCAAAGACAAAGAAGAAAATCATCGTGGAGAAGAGTGAAAAACCTCCCAGTCCAAACCCGAGCTCCTCGAGCAACTCGTCACCTGAGGAAGATGAAATAACTCATCCTTACATTTTCCCAAAAAAGACTACAAAGAATAATGCTTCCGAGAATCAAGACATAAATATGGATATAGGTCCTAGCACCTAGCAATCGCTTCGCTTCTCTGCCTGTAGAGAGCACCAATGAACAGGCCGACGATAACGCCGAACTTCAAATTGTACCCAAGCCTCCCCCAATTTTTCTCCCGGAGGTTAAAAACATTGGCGAATTGCTGAAGGAACTGCGCACAATTGTCAAGGCTGATACGTTCTCTTACAAGGCTACGAGAGGAGGAAACATTAGGCTGCTACCAAAAGACAGCACCACCTACAGGAAAATTGTCGCATACCTGGACAACTGCCCAAAACCATTCCAAACCTGCCAACTCAAAGAAGAGAGAGCATTTCGCATCGTAGTTAAAGGACTGCACCACACAACTCCACTAGAGGAGGTTAAGGAAGCAACTAAAATGTCTTTGTCAATGTTCTTTATTAACCTTGCACCAGCTCCCACCAATAAACAAGTCTTCGTGACTAACAGACTATGTCACGCCGTTGTCACCATTGAGGACCCGAAAAAGTTCGATGGGGTGGTGCAATATTTCCGCTGCCAAGCTTTCGGGCACACGAAGAAATACTGCAAGCTCCAATACATTTGTGTTAAACTCTTTTGATTGCAAAAAGGCAAAGGAAATCCCACCCATGTGCGGTAACTGTGAAGAAGAACACACCGCCTCCTACCGTGGATGCAGAATCTACGTCGAGGCCAAGAAACGCTTTAGCGCTAAACCTAAACCAGCAACAACTTCATCATCCAATTTTGCTCCACAGGCTAATTTCCCAGCGAGCGTTGCCGCGAGCCAGTCAGGCAACCCCAAACTCAGCTACGCCAACGTTGCTAGGGCAGACGCGGCTGGAAACTTCGATAACAATCAATTCAATCGCCAGTCCCCCTCGATTCCTTGGAGGAAAGGTTGATGCGTCAAATGGAGTCCATAATGATCACCATGTTCAACCAATTCCACAATCTAGTGATGTCAATGCTCTCCAACCGGATTAATAGTTAACATCCATAAATACCCTTGTAGTATGAAATGCGAACAGCTTGCCTAGTAGCCCAATTTGAGCACAACTATATCTGTTCAGATCTTTTCTTTTATATACCATATGAGTTATTCCATTCTCATTTAATTTCCTAAATGTTGTCTTTATAGAAAATTTGTTAACATAACTTTTAGGTAGAAATATCCAAACATCTTTGTCGTTCTTATTAGTTAAATACAGAGCTATTTTAGCAAAATTAGTTGATAAAGTTTTTACTTTTAGTTTATATGCATATCATTTTTGATCAGTGTAAGATTGAATTCCTTGTGTCCTAGTACCTAACTGTTGTATACTAATTCTTTAACCAGAAGTTACATGGTCTTTTATACTTGGCAAAAACTATATATTTTGTGAGGATGCGTGAAACACACCCTCCACATTTCGCCACCTTTATTCTTTCCCCCACGAAGGCATACAATTTGATATTACGGCACGACGGCCATTTATTTATAATATATATATATTATAATATATATTTATAATATATTATATATTATTTATATTTATTTATGCCGATAGCGATAGACTGGGGATCGATAAGAAACTGTGTTGGGAAACGGAAACACCCGGCAAACCGAGCTCACATGCGGCCGCAAGGGCGGAAGCTCGTTCTCATTCCCGAATGGCAGCAAAGGCGACCAGACCTAGGAGCGGACTTCAACCCGGAGTGGTACAGCGACACGAGCGTCGGCACGCCGGATCCAAGGAGTAAGTGGGACAGACAATAGAGATCAGACTGAGTGCGAGTAGGGGACTAGGAAAATAACTTGTGAAACTAGCGAGTAATAAAGACAAGAGAGAATGAAGAAGTATGTGTCCGTGTGAATTTGTGCATTTTTCGGGAACCCACGTGCAGTGATTTGTGCCGGTCGGGAATCGTGTTGCGCCGGAGAAGCTTACTCAGTGCAAACGACCACCCGATCGCCCACAAGGAGCATAGGAAAGGATCGCCTCTGGCCACCCTCTCCTGGGAACCCCGCCCCAAATACGGTTTATGTAGTCGCGAGCCACGTGCAGTGATCTGTGCCGGTCGGTAATCGTGTTGCGCCAGAGAAGCTTACTCAATGCAAATGACCACTCGATCGACCACAGGGAGCACAGGGAAGGGTCGCCTCCGGCCATCCTCCCCTCGGATCCCTACCCCTACCCCAGTAGCTTGTGAGTCGCACATCCAGGGGGAACGGCCACGCCGTCCCGTTTTGTTGGTATTTTCTCAGGGATCGGCTACGCCGCTCGTTTCCTTAGTATTTTCGCCGGGAGCAGACCCGCCCTCCACTATACCTTTCGGGTGCCGTGTTGCGCTAGAGCTGCTTACTCGGTGCAACGCGGATACTCTGGCCTCCTTTTCCCACAAATCCCCGCGGCAACTCCCCGTCCAGTTTCGTCCCAATACTTTTCTATAAATTTAACTGTAGAGGACCCTGGCCGGACTGAGTTTTATCCCAGCCTATGAAAAAGGTCCTTACAATTTCTATCAATTCATGTGAAGTAAATTAGATAACACTATGTCTTCATTACATGTATCAAAATACTTTTTCAAATTATGTAATACTCGAGAATAAAGTCAGAAATTCATATCAGTCTGTCTATCTCTTTTTATATTTATATAAATCTTTCAATAGCGTTAAAATAAAGTTAGTGTATATAACGTAAGAATTATCTCTCAGATGCTATATAAGATACATTTTTTATAGAAAAGTAAGTTTATTTTTAAAAACATCGAAATGGTGAAGTATCATTGCGAGTTGTGCATACATTAAAGATACACAACTTCGCCTGTCAGAAATCTAGATCTTCCTTTTATTATTGTTATTTCTGCCCTAATGTACGGAAATTTTGGTTGCGATACGACATTACATCGTCTGTTGGTTCACAACGCAGAGCTAAAAAGTATTTGCAAAGCAAAGAAAAATTCTCCAATAAATAAAAAAACAGTTATAAGATCTCAATTTTAACAAGGAAGAACGCTATAGTCGAGTACCTCGACTATCAGATACCCGTTACTCAGCTAACGACCAAAGGGAAATGGAGATATGCAAGCAGCAAAGCGAGACAGAAATGCGCCACCCACCGCTGATCTCAATATATGGTTATGTGGGCGGTAGACAGATTTAAGCGTTATGGGCGTTATAGTGAAAATTGTAGGCGTCCCAGGTTTGGGCGGTTTGTGGGCGTTCGTGTGGGCGTGGCAAACTTTTTTTTTGGATCAATCGATACATATTGACAAGACTAATAAATTTCAGTTACAATTTTTTAACTAGCATGTAAATTGTGGGCGCCACAGGTTTGGGCGGTTTGTGGGCGTTAGAGTGGGCGTGGCATATTCGCGTAGCAAACTTGCGCTGCGTACAAGGCTACGGAATTTAAATCTAAGATCCCATTTCTCTATCTTCAATAGTTTCTGAGATATCCGCGTTCATAATTAAGGTGGGCGTGGTAAACTTTTTTTTTTGGGTCAATCGATAGGTATCGATTGTGCCACGCTCACTCTTACGCCCACAAACCGCCCAAAACTGTGGCTCCTACAGTTTTAATGCTAGAATAAAAATTTTAACTAAAATGTATTGCTCTCATCAAATTACCGTAATTAGTATACCCCTTACAAAAAAAAAATTGGTATCATTGAAAAGCATTTTTCAAGCCCTTTCCATGGGACTCATAGAATTAAAATTTCACACCTTCGCGCACAAGCAGTCATGAGTAAGGACTCGAAGGTAGTGGATGAGATTCGGGTTCGTGGGTACGCACGTTCATTTTCTTCAGCTCATTCTCAGAAGATAACGAGGGGTTCACAATATTTAAAATGCAATAAAACGGGAGGATTCCGTGGGATACCAAACACACGGATGGTGGGATGTGTATATGCTTGCAATTAAAAACAACTAATACAAAATACAAAAAAAAAATAGCTACCGTGGTCCGTTATTATAGTGAAATTCTGGCCTCTACATATCCCCTGAAACATTATAAACATACAATGGCTGCTAAGCATTCCCGCTCGGTAACTGAGTAGTTTTGCTGGGCCTGGTTGAGTTTTTTGGAAACAAATGCTATTGAACACTCATCTCCTAAAGGTGAAAGCTTTACTAGCACTCCTCCAACCCCGGTCTTACTGGCATCGCAGTGCATGTAGAGCGGCTTCGGAGAATTGGCACTTCTAAGGCTTTTCGCAACGACTTGGGAAAGGAAAAGCGGTGATAGCCGAAATCTATCATAAAATAACCCAAATATCTGGCAAGCTACTTCCTTGAGGATTTCTAAATGGCGTTTGAAGGTAGCCGAAACTAAAAGTAAATCGTCCAAGTAAACAAACACTTCGTTTCGCAGCTGTGGTGGAACTAGCGTGTCTATCAATTTAAATTGGTACAGGGTTCTTCCGAGAACAGTGAATGCCGTTTTATACCTTGATGCCTCATCTAAGGGGACCTGCCAGTAGGCGTCCTTTAAGTCAAGATGTATTATAAATTCAGCCTTGGGCATCTGTCCTTTTTGGAGGATGTTAAGCACACCCATAGGTACGCAAAAAGAATGTCCTATAAAAGAGACAAGAAATGTGTCTTTAAAATTTGAGAAAGATATATGCTATTGTATAGTGTTGTTGTTAAGGTTCGCAAACCTATGCACCTCCGCCATCCGTAAAATGCTTTTGTAGGATGAACTCTTCAGTTACTATCAGAATGCTGGTATGGTAAAATTCTGAAATGATTGCTGAAATTCCAGGTTATCTGAAAACATGAAGTGGCCATCGTTCGTGCACCAGACATCTAATATGACCAGGTTCAAACCTGGGCTCTGGGGCGTAATGTTATAAATTCCAAATGTCAATATAAATTTGTCTCAATACACGTTTAGGCAAACCATGAACTGACTACGATAATGGTCAGAAGATCAATCGAAATTTTCTCTAATCTGTATTCTAAAATGACCATATTCAATTCTAGGTTTGATAAAAATGAAAATGAAATAAAAGAGATGTTGGACTATCGTTGCTGAGTCTCATAGTTTAATTAAAACTAAATTTTTTTACCATTGAGCTACACGTTGGGCGCCATTATAGAACCCTAATATCTCCGAAACTATCACGCTTAAGAGTTAGGATTTCAGATTTAAATTCATTAGCTTCGTACGCAGCGCAAGTTACGCGAATATGCCACACCCACTCTAACGAACCGCCCAAGACTACGTTTCTACAGTCCTAAAGCTAGGAAAAAATGTTAGCTAAAATGTATTGGTCTCGTAAAAACCTATGGATTGGCCTTAAAAAACCGTGGCTTGGCCCAATCTAAAGCCCATAAGCTTTAAGAGATCATCCAAATGAACTCTGATATCTCGGAAACTATCAAAGCTTGGATTTCAGATATAGATTCGTTACCTACATACGCAGTGCTCGTTTATTAAAATTCTAGCACTAAAACAGTAGGAGCCAAAGTTTTTGGGGGTTACTAAGCGTCAGAGTGGGTGTGGCATGTTCTCGGAACAAACATGCGATGCAAAGAAAATAAGCAATCTAAATCTGAAATCTCATCCCTCAACCTCTTCCAAGATCATAGCTTACACACGAACAGATGGACAGTCGGACAGAATGATGGTGATCAAGAACATACTTTATGGGGTCGGAGACGCTTCTTTCTGCCTGTTACTTACTTTCCCCGAATACACTATACCCTTTTACTCTATCAGTAACGGGTACTAAAATATGTTGTGTTATGAAATTTAACCACAAATTGGATTTCACGTGAGAAAAGTGCACATCGAAATAAGCTAAAAACCATTTAGGTCTCTCTGACTTAGATAGCGACATAAAATGAAAAGACTGATTTGATTTAAATGTGCGATGCCTCTTACACCGATTTCAAAAACTTGATTTATGTAAGTTCCATTCAGTTCTGGAGTCAGCTTTGGGTGACATGTTAGCAGGCAAAACACTGCCGCTGTCGACGTCAGCAGAGAAGCCGCCGCAGCGTCGAAGACTGCCGACAAAAACGGTCGGACAAGAAAGATAAGCAGTTATTCGTAGATTTATCTCTCTTTTCTTTGATTTGTAATATGCTATTCTTTGCCTTTAATCAGCTTCCGCAGAGACATAGTTCGTTGTTTTTGTTAGTCGTTCTTCTAGAAAGAAGAAAATAAGCCTAGGAAAAGCAAAACAAAGTCAGGTAAGTGACGCCATAAATAAAATCTGTTTCATTTTTCCATACAAAATATCAAACTATTTGTAAGCTTTTGTTCTTTCTTGTTCGACTTCATTAACACGTCGTGTTGGCCAGCCTTGCCTGCATTGGCTGGCCGGTCGCCCTGCTGGTCCTCTTTATATTGGTCCCTGATTAAGCTATTGAGGACCCTCTATAATGTGCTAATAGGAATTTTGATAACTGAAATGGTTCTTCGTCTTTTAATTTATTTATTTTTGAGAATTAAAATGTCACTAGCAAAGAGATTTCCAGGTCTTGTAGAGATCGTGATGGGTGACCTCCGACAGGTCCAAGGATGCTAGGTCACAGAAATTAGATTCTAAAGGCAATTAACAATCTATTGCTTATACATCTTCATCATCGCTAGACAATTTTAAAGACGTTTTGGATGCTTCGGCGGGTACTTTGGTTGATTATGAGAAAGATTTTGCTTCTCCACATGGATTTGATAATTTTAAAGAAGGAAAAACTGCATAAGTCCAGACTTCATCAGTCAAAAAGTGGCTGACCAGTTGT